GCCCCCATGCTTTTATACCATTCCTCAAACAAAACCATTCTCTTGAATCTTGTCATGGAGCCATCCGTTGCAGTCCATTCTTTCTCTCTCTAGTCTTTTTTTATCTTTTCGTTTTACACAGGGTTTCTTCAGGGTAAGTGCTCAAGGTGGAATTCTAGGGTTGTAGGGTTGTAGGGTGTCTGCTGCTTCCATTTTAGTAGGTCATGCCACGTTGTCTTCCACTGCTAATCACCATTCCTGCTTTGACTAGTTGTGTGTGTATTCACATTGTTTATATGCTAGTTTATAGGCAGACTTTTCTGTCTCACCAGCTAGCTCTCAAATAACTACATGGAGACTTATCGTTAATTGTAAATGCTTGGTCGATAGCTTAGGCTTGTTACTAACTAGCTCTTACAACTTGAATTAACCCATTTTCATCAATTTACTTGCTGCTGCATGGCTCATCACTTGTTACCTTATCTTGTACACGTCCTGCTTCCTCTGTGTCTGGCTGGTGATTCTGCCCTTCATCTTCCCAGCATTCTCTGTCTGGCTCTCCCATCTATACCACCTTCTCCCTAGCTATTGGCCATTTAGCTCTTTATTTTTTTATTTTATTTATTTATTTATTTTTGGTTTTTCGAGACAGGGTTTCTCTGTGTAGCTTTGCGCCTCTCCTGGAACTCATTTGGTAGCTCAGGCTGGCCTCGAACTCACAGAGATCCGCCTGGCTCTGCCTCCCGAGTGCTGGGATTAAAGGCGTGCACCGCCGCCGCTGCCGCCGCCACCACCACCACCGCCCGGCTCATTTAACTCTGTATTAAACCAATGAGAGTAACACATCTTCACAGTGTACAAAAGGATTGTTTCACAACACTAGTTCACATTCACATTTGGTCTTCAGGGTAGATCAGATTTTGAATATTGAATGTATTAGAAAGTGCTTCTCACACTTGATTGTGTATGCAAATCACCAGGGATATCAGGAAAAGTTTATCTTCTGACTTACATCTCCCCCACTCCTTTCTTGAGACAGGGTTTCACTACATAGCCCTGGCAGTCCTGGAACTAACTGTCTAGACCAGCTTGGCCTCAAAGTCAAGGAAATCTGGTCTGCCTCAGTGCTGGGACTAAAAGTGTGTGCCACCACACCTGGCTTCTCTCTCTCCTTGAAGTCATCTGTATCTGGGCCTGGTTGTGCATACTCTGGAGAATGAGGCAGGAGGATGACAAATTCAAGGTCTGCCTGCACAATTCAGTGAGACTCTGCCTCAACATAAAAAAGTAAGAACAGCTGGGGTGATAGGTCAGAGGTTGAGTGTTTACACAGCTGGTATGAAGTGTGTTCAATCCTCAGTGTTAGAGAAAATAAAAGCACTCAAATTGTTAATAATATAACATATTGAAATAATATAAATGGCACATATCTCAGTCACTGTTCTGTTGCTGTGAAGAGACACCATGACCAAGGCAGCTCTCATAAAAGAAGCATTTAATGACAGGCTTGCTTACAGCTTTAGAGGGTTAGTTCATTATTATCAGGGCAGGGAGCATGGCGGCACACAGGCAGGCATGGTGCTGGAGTAGCTGATCTTCAGGCAGCGGGCAAAGAGAGACACTGGCCTGGCACGGGCTTTTGAAGCCTCAAAGCTCACCCTCCAGTGACACACCTCCTCCAGCGAGGCCAATCCTAATACCTGACAGCTCATCCGCTGGGGCCTAAGTATCCACATCTGTGAGCCTGTAGGGGCCATTCTCACTCAAACGACCAGAGCATATAAATCATATGTATACTGTGTTGTTCAGGGACCGATGACAGGAACAACCAGTAGTATATATTCAGTACAGATACTTCCCCCCACTTTGAGACAGGATCTCATGTGTCCCAGGCTGGCCTCGAACTCCATACATCTGAGGATAAGTTTGAACTTTTGATTCTCCTGCTTCTACCTCTATAGTGCTGGGATTGCATCATGTACCACCAAGTTCAGTTTGTGTGGTGCCGGGCCTTAAACCTAGGACATATGTTTAGGCAAGAACTGCACCAGTGAGCTATATCACCAGCCTCTAGATACATCCTTTCCCCGAAATGTTTTCCATCTGTGATTGACTGGATTTGCAGATGTGGAACAACCCTGGTATATGATGGTCCAACTGTAGTACTTAATATAGCTACTAGATTCCTGGTGTAACTCCATAGGACATCAGTACAGTACCATAATCCTCTGGGAAAGTTAAAAAGAATACAGGTCCCATACAGACATAGATATTCTGAGTCAGGAGGCCTGGGGTCTTAGAACCAATGCAGTAAGAATATTCTGTATCAGGAGTTAACCAGGCTTCCCCAGAATTAAAGTAGAGGGGACAGTGAAACAGGTAAGCCAGTCCTGAGCACCTGCTTGTCTCACAGACCCCCATCCCTTTCTCCTTTTGTCAGTCCTGTGGTCGGTCAGTCACCCCACCCCAGGAGAGGACACACTGAAGAATGAAAGTGTGGTTAAGTCAACAGTACAGTCTAACTTGGTATGTGAGCAGTGTAGTAGGCAGTGGGCCATGTGTCCTGTGGAAGTGTACGACAGCCTGGGTGCTCCTGAGAAACATCTGAGGCCTCTACGTCCTTTGTGACAGACACGGCCATGATGTTACTGTGTGGTTAGGCACTGCCTGGGCAGGGGCCATAGCCTTGAAGCTCCGTGCCGGTTGGTGACTAGCTACAGTAGCAATCTGTTTGTCTTTTGAGACTCCAGTCACTAGCCAGCTAGTCAGAGACTACTTGGGGACTATAGCCCACAGCAGACTTGAGGAGCATGGAAGGGCGTTACCAGCTTTGTTTGGTTGGCCTACAAAATGGAGAACTGAGTATTTATCATCATTCTTTTGAGTTATTTTCCAAATAATCAAAAGAATATATTCTTAAGTCAATTTAATATGGGTTTTTTTTTGTATGTGAAAATGATAGATAATGAGTCTACCTATTTCTTTTTTCTTCTTTTTTTTTTGGTTTTTCAAGATAGGGTTTCTTTTTTTTTTTTTGAATGCCGAATGGCATTTATTGAAGGAGGAAGGAGGTCTTAAATACAGGCTTATAGCACAATGGGAGAACCCCGGAGGGCAGAAGTTCCCTACTGATGTTTTGCAATCTTGCATCTAAGCTGTTAACGCCCAATATGCAGGATACCTAGACAAGGAACTTCCCTTAAGCATTCAAGAGGGTGGAATCCAGCAGGGAGTTAGCATAGGGAGGATATCAAGGTCAAGGTCAACAAGCAAGGCAACAGTTACCCAAAATGGGAGCCAGGGCCCTACAGGTCCCCCCTTTTACTAAAAAATGAGCTTCTGACTTAGGTTGCTTGGGACATCAGCAGGTCACCTTACCCATCATGGAGACATCTGCCCAGGCCACACAGGCGCTCCGTCTTAGGTTGGTGAGTGGCCCCCAGGCATTACCCGCAAGATAGGGTTTCTCTGTGTAGCTTTGGAGCCTGTCCTGGAACTCACTCTGTAGCCGAGGCTGGCCTTGGACTCACAGAAAACTGCCTGCCTCTGCCTCCCAGGTGCTGAGATTAAAGGCGTGTGCCACCACTGCCCAGCTAACCTAATTTCATTTGTGGAATAAATGCCCTGTACTATATTCAGGATATCTATAAAATGTTTTTACAGTAAATGTCAGCTTTGTCTCTTCTTTTTTTTATTTTTTCCAGACAGGGTTTTTCTACATGTCCTGGAACTTACTCTATAGACCAGGCTGGCCTTGAACTCACAGAGATTCTGCCTGCCTCTGCCTCCCAAGTGCTGGAATTTATAGGCATGTGCCACCACCGCCTGGCTAGTCTCTTCATATTTTAATGAGAAATGTGTAATAACCTTTAAGTAAAGGAATATGGCTTATTAGTTAGTATTTACAATTAGTTAGTACAATGGTGTATACTTTATTGTGTCTTTTATGTTGACATGTATAAGTTGCTGAGATATCTATTTATTTACTTATTTATTTTGGTGCCGAAACGCAGAAACATTTAGTTTTGAGTCCTCTCCATGGTGATTGGAGCCACCACCTTTCCTCCTCCTCCTCCTTCTCCTCCTCCTCCTCCTCCTCCTCCTCCTCCTCCTCTTTTTGGTTTTGTTAGAAGGATGGTCTCACTATGTAGCCGAGGCTGGTCTCTATCTTTGGGCAGTCCTCTACGTTGGCCTTCTTAGTTCTTCTACCACAGAGTGTACCCCAGGTCCAGCAGGTGCCATTACTGCATTCTTTTTTTTTTTTTTTTTTTTTTGGTTTTTCGAGACAGGGTTTCTCTGTGTAGCTTTGCGCCTTTCCTGGAACTCACTTGGTAGTCCAGGTTGGCCTCGAACTCACAGAGATCCTCCTGGCTCTGCCTCCCGAGTGCTGGGATTAAAGGCATGTGCCACCACCGCCCGGCCATTACTGCATTCTTAAATGTGTCCACTGTAGAACTTCAGCGGCAGTCGAAGACCTCATATGGGCTTCAGTTACTTGAAGTATACAAAAATAAAAACACTTTTAACCAAGAGAAATTACAAAACGTTTCTGCATTTTGTTTGTTTCGTTTTTGAGGCAGGATCTCACTGTGTAGTCCTGGCTGGCTTGGAACTCACTGTGTAGTTCAGGCTGGCCTTGAACCTTTGCCTCCTGAGTGCTAGGATTAAAGAGTGCACCACCGCACCTGGCTTTTGCACTGTATTTTTGTTTGTTTGTTTGTTTGTTTCTTAAGATAGGGTTTCTGTGTGTAGTTTTGGTGTCTGTCCTGGATCTTACCCTGTAGGCCAGGCTGGCCTCGAACTCACAGAGATCCGCCTGGCTCTGCCTCCTGAGTGCTGGGATTAAAGGCGTGTGCCATGGCTGCCTGGCTCTGCACTGTATTTTTATTAAAAACCACTTGTATGTCACAAAACAGATCTGCGTCCAACTCATGGAATAGAGTGTGACTCCTGTGCTTGTATGAAAATCAATATAAGTGTAGTTAATCAAAGTTTTAAATTTCATTTTTTTTTCTTTGCAGATTGAATCCCTCTCTGGAACTTCTGAATGTTTTTTACTAGTGGGAACATTTTCTACACAGCAAAGCTGATGGCTTAATTTTGGCAAGTGCTGGTGTGGCTTTGGTTCTGCTATGCTTCACGAAGCTTGAGTCTGAAGGATACAGGGCTTTCTGGGATGACAATATGACTCACAGTAAAGGAAGATCTGTCACTCACAAGACAAGTGGGAATCCAGACACTGGAGGAGGCTTTGTAGACTGGACTTTAAATTTCAACACAATTCAGTCGGACAAGTTTTTAAACTTGCTTTTAAGCATGGTGCCAGTCATTTACCAGAAGAACCAGGAAGACAGGCATAAAAAAGCAAATGGCATTTGGCAGGAAGGATTGTCAGGTGCAGCGCAGAACTTCAGCAAGAGATCAGAGCCACATCTGGACTACCACGAGTTCTCGGAGCAGGCCTTCCTCGGCGGCAGCGGGCACGCTCCAGCCAGCTGCAGCCCCAAGTATGACGACTACGCCGGCTATAACTACTGTGATGGGAGGGAGGCTTCGGAAACCACCGCCATGCTACAGGATGAAGATCTGTCCAGTGAGGGCGATGATGTTATTGTGGAAACAAACCAGAAGCTGCCGAGGGAGTCCAGCGGCATCATGGCTCTGCAGATTCTCGTGCCGTTCTTGCTGGCTGGGTTTGGAACAGTTTCTGCTGGCATGGTTTTGGACGTAGTACAGGTGAGTGTTCATCTTTAGGTTCAGTGTGTGTGTGTGTGTGTGCGTGTGCGTGTGCGTGTGTGTGTGTGTGTGTGTGTGTGTGTGTGTGTGCGCGCGCGCTTCCTTACATGCTTTTGACCCTGTTTTGTGAGGCAGGGCCTCTAACTTGTACCCGGAAGTCGCTGACTCAGCTGGCAGCCCGTGAAGCTCCAAGGGCCTATCTCGGCCTCCTCAGCATTGGGGTTATGTCTGTGCCACCATGCTTGGCTTTCTGGGTTTTTAAAAATTAATTAATTAATTGATTGATTGATTAAATAATTTGAAACAGGAATTTCTACATCATCCTGCGTATCCTGGATGGACCAGGCTGGCCTTGAACCCACGGAGATCCAATTGCCTCTGCCTCCTAAGTGCTGGGATTACAGTGAATCACTCCCAAGTGGCTTTCTTTTTTAAAACATAGGTTCTGAGGATTGAATCTAGGTTCTTATGCTTACTCATTCCAACCCCTTCCTCCCTCCCCTCCCCTCCCCTCCCCTCCTTCCTCTTTTCCTCTCTTCCCTCATCACCTCCCTCTTTCAATGGGTCTCACTGTCTAGCTTTCACTGGCCTTGAACTTACAGTCTTTCCTGCCTTAGGTCCCCCAACCTAGGCTTAGAGGTGTGTGCCCACATCTGGTTTGACTTCACTTTTTTTTATTCAAATGCTTGACATAGGATACATGTCTCAAACATTTATCTTTGCAGTACTGAGCCTGGAGCATCGTGTGGTAGGAGCCTGAGTGATATCCCCAGCATTCAAGCGTTATTTTAGATTTAATTTGTTCCTTTGTGAAGTGAGTGACCTGAGAACTCTGTTATCCCTGCTAACTTCTCTTTTAGAAGTTAAAAAAGGAAAACAAAACGTTGTCTTTTTTTCCCATGCTGTGGATTGAACCCACATTCCAAAGAAAGTAACTCTTTATTACAAACCCCAAAATAAACCGAGTAAAAGAAAAGCCCAGTAAAGCCGGGCGGTGGTGGCGCACGCCTTTAATCCCAGCACTCGGGAGGCAGAGCCAGGCGGATCTCTGTGAGTTCAAGGCCAGCCTGGGCTACCAAGTGAGTCCCAGGAAAGGCGCACACAGAGAAACCCTGTCTCGAAAAACCAAAAAAAAAAAAAAAAAAAAAAGAAAAGCCCAGTAAGCAAGCAGTATGTTGAAATATTCTGTTTTAAAATAAAAAACTTCCACATGCTCATTAAAGTGTGTTCAAACAATGTAGTGCTAAAATAAAGACCAACTTCTGTTCCCCATCTCCACACCCAAAATGCTCCCCTTCTTTGTCTTCATTTCTCTCCTCCTCCACCTCCTCCTCCTCTTCCTCCAACTCCTCCTCCTCCTCCACCTCCTCTACCTCCACCTCCTCCATCTCCATCTACTGCTCCTCCACCTCCTCCTCCACCTCCCCCTCCTCCTCCACCTCCTCCTCCACCTACTCCACCTCCTCCTCCACCTCCTCCTCCTCCTCCACCTCCTCCTCCACCTCCACCTACTGCTCTTCCACCTCCTCCTCCCCTTCCCCCTCCTCCTCTACCTCCTCCACTTACTCTTCCTTCTCTACTTCCTCCTCCTCCTCCACCTCTTCCACCACCTCCTCCCCCACCTCCACCTCCTCCACTTACTCTTCCTTCTCCACCTACTCCTCCTCCTCCACCTCCTCCTCCTCCCCCTCTCCTCCTCCTCCACTTCCTCCATTTGTGTGTGGTGCTGGAGATAGTGCCCAGGGCCTTATCTGTCCGGCAGGTCTTCAATCCTGCTCCCAGTGACTGAGACACTTTTACACTTGTACTTACTGTGTGTGTGCATATGGTGCTAATGTGGAGGTCAGAGGACAACTTACAGGAGTTGGCTCTCCCCTTCTCCGAGGGGTCTGGGGTAGAACTTGGCTAGTCGGCTTGTCGACAAGTGCCTTGACCCACCCAGCCGGTGCTTCTCACATGTCTGTACTAACTTTGAACCCCAGACGGATTCCCACCAGGGTCTGAGGAAGATGGATGGGATGCCTGACTCTTTAGGTCCCAGGTCTTCTTTTATTTGGAGCAACCCCCAGAGCAACTTTACAGGCAAACAGCAGGGTCTTGTTTCCCTGCTTAGCTGATGGATTTTCTTCTGCCTTTCTCACATGTTACCAGTGACAAAGGTCTTTCTGCTGTGAGTAGATATGCCAGTTCATGAAGTCCTCTGCTGGATAATCCCATTGTAATTGCATTTGTAAAATACCCCCTGTGTTATTAAGCAGTTATATGATCTTTTCAGTTTAGGAAGCAATTTTGTATCTGTTAACTTTATGGTGTTTTTCTTTCTTTTTTTTATTTTTTTAATTACACTCATGATATTCATTAATTACACTCATGATATTACATTTGTGGTATTCATTGATTACACTCACATTATTCATTCAATAACTATATTTATGATATTCATTAATTACATTAATTGTATTGATTTATTACATTCATGATACTATGCCCTGATAGTACGGTCCATTTGTGGGGTTTTCCCATCACACAAAACAGATTCTATACTTAGGAAATCATTATTCTATGTTTATGGTGTTTTTCTGAGGCCACTTATTGCTATGTTCATTTCATAGATGGAGACGGTGACATCTCTGAGATCCGACTCCTCCAGGATCTCAGCCAGCTGTGACAGGTCCATCCCCAGAGGCATGAGTTTTGTTTCACCGGGCATGGTGGCACACCCAGGGAAGCTGAGTCAGGAGCATCACGGGCTTGAGAGCAGCCTGTTCCATTGTATAGGGAGTTGAGGACAGCCGGAGCTACAGAGTGACGCCTTGTGTTAAAAGATGCATTTCCAGTTTAGTGGTGGTTTTATGATCCTGTGTTACGCTTCCCTTAGCTTCTTACCGTAAAATGAGGACCAGAACCTAGGACTACGAGTTGCTTCAGATGTTAACTTTCAGTGTTTTCTGTCTTTTTCTTTTTTCTTTGTCCTTCCTTCCTTCCTTCTTTCCTTTCTTTTTTCTTTTTCTTTTTCTTTTTTTTTTTTTTTTGACCTTGGGATGTCACCATACCTCTTGGAATTTTCATCTCCTCATCTCTAAACTTAGTAACAACAGTGTAATTTTCTTGCGGCATTGTTCGAAGTAGTGCTGGAACCCAGACTCAATTCCAGATGACCCAGTCCCATAGCCTGAGCTCTTAACCGTTAGCTACATGGGCTCTGTCACCATGAAATGATAAAGTAACTGGGAACGGTGGTACGTGTCTGGCATCTAGCATTTGGAATGCAGAGGCATGAGGATCACAAGTTTAAGGCTGGGCTACAGTAGTGAGTTAATGGCCAGCCTGAGCGGTCTTAAAAACTCAAGGGCTGGTATGGCTTGGTGGTAGAGTGCTTGCCTAGTATGTGATAGGCTGTGGGCTCCTCCATCTTGAGTACCGCCAATAAAAGAAAAAAGTATGACACAGTAACTCTTAGGAGCCTCAGGGTTAGTGGTAGTCATTAGTGTTAGCTGTAGAATGGGATGGAGTGATGGCAGATGTTGAGCCAACACCAACCGAATCTTCTCAAGTCACTCCGATCCTGACCCCAGGAGGGTACATGTTTGTGATTTAGATAACCAGTGCTGCCCTTTAAAACATGGAGGCAAAGCCAGGTGAGGTGGTGCACACCTCAATCCCAGCACTCAGGAGGCAGAGGCAGGCAGGTCTCTGAGTTTCAGGCCAACCAGGGCCACGTGGTGAGACCCTGTCTCCACAGCAGTGATAGCAAAAACAAGAAATGAGATGCAAAGTTGGAAATAAACCCTGGGGTCTTTAGAAAGCCCTCGTTTTGAAGAGCGATTGTTTTCTTTGTTCCACAGCACTGGGAGGTGTTCAAGAACGTGACTGAAGTCTTCATCTTAGTCCCTGCACTTCTTGGTCTCAAAGGGAACTTGGAAATGACACTGGCTTCTCGGTTATCCACTGCGGTAAGTTTTCCCTACTTCCTAGCATGTGTATTACTTACTCCTCTCTCCTTAGAAGAGCCTGTGTGATAAGCGGGTTGTTTTCTCTATCTGGTAAGTCTCTGCACCTCAGAGTTGTGCCCTGAAAATTCTTGGGGTCCTCTCCTCTGAGAATATAGGCCTGCTTTCCCTTATCACCAGAAGCAGCAATATGTCTGCCTCCTTTGATGCCAGGCCACGCTGGCGGCTTTGATTAGTGTGCAATGCATGGGGTGGGCAAATTCTGAGAGTGTATATGAGAGAGTTGAAAACAGAGCTGGAATCCTATGTATTCTCTTTTATAATCTGACAGATTGAATATATAGTGCTTTTTTTTTCAGATAGGGTCTCAAATTTACTATATAGACCAGACTGGCCCTGAACTCACAGAGATCCTCCTGCCTCTGCCTCCTAAGTGCTGGCATTAAAGGCATGTGCCAATGTGTACATGGCTATGTCCTTTCATATTCTATAACCCTGACATTAATTTATCATCCGTTATTGGATATGTAAACACTTTCTAATGGTCTGTCATTGTGGAAAGATATGATGGGAGCTGGAGAAATGGCTCAGGGTAAGAGCACTTACTTGTGTGGGACTAGATTTCAGTTCTCACCACAGGGCAGGACACAGCTATCCATAACTCCAGTTCCAGGAGATCCGATGCCCTCTTCTGGGCTTCAGGCACCAAGCATGTGGTATGCATACATGAGACAAACACTCACAAGTAAATAAGTGATGCTGAATATTCTTTCTTTTTTCTTTTTCTTTCCTTTTCTCTCCTCCCCCCCCTCTTTCTTTTTGAGCTAGTGTATCATTCTATAGCTCTGGCTGGCCTGGAACTCATTATTATGTATTCCAAACTGGTCTTAAACTCAAGAGACCTTCCTGTTTCTGCTTCCCAAGTGCTGGGATTGAAGGTATTTACCACCACACCTGGCATGACAATTAATATACGTGAATGACGGTGCAGGCATAAAATTGACATAAATCTGAAGTAAAAAAGAAAGTAGAACAGACCACTTGTTAGATACTGATTTATCTAGTGATTTACTTAAAGCACAGCTTATACTGCCTATTTGCCAAGCATGACTTCACTTGCTACCTGAAACAGAATAATCTGGAAAAATACCTGAAACAATGGGTCGTTGCCCTTAACAACCTGCTGACCGCCATATCTGCTTCTGTAAAATCTTGCTTGCCTGCCCCACCTCGTGGTTTTAGTGTATAAAATGAGACTACAAACCGTACCTGGGATTGAAGCCTTTAGGAACTGCCCTGGCTTCGGTCCACTGGTGACGACATCTCCTCTCTTTCACTCTCATTGGTGCTGAGGTGCTTATTCCAAAGATCCCTGTAGCAGATCATTTCAGACATCAATAGAGGAGTGAAGAAAATAAAGGCAGGTCGTGTGGTGAAGGGTAATTCAGGAGGGCAGCTGCAGGTCACGTCTATGGAGATCACTAATCTATATACAGAGCTCATCCTTCTGAGAGGATGATGTGAATCAGTCATATCAGGATCTGAGTGGAGAAGACCATGCTGCAAACCTCATTTAATTAGTGTAATAATGTCAATGGGTTTTGTTATTAAAAAATTGTATGTGTAAATATTTTGCTTGAATGTATACATGTGCAACATGTGTATGCAGTGCCCCCAGAGGCCAGAAGAGGGCATCAGCTTCCTTGGAACTGCAGTTACAGATGGTTGTGAGCAGCTTCATAGGAGCTGGGATTGAACCTGCTTTCTCTGCAGGAGCAACAAGTGCTCTTAACTGCTGAGGCGTCTCTCCAGCCCCAGTGTCAACTCTTCATAAGCATTCTCCATAGTCTTCTTTGTTGCTTTGATTTGTTTTTCAGACAGGGTCTCTACATAGCCCTGGCTATCCTGGAACTCACTGTGTAGACCAGGATGCCCTCAAACTCACAGAGGTCTATCTATCTCTGCCTCCTGAGTGCTGGGATTACAGATGTGCTCAATCATGCCCAGCTTAGATATGGTTTCTTTAACAGTTGAGCTTGAGGCAAGAATACAATGGAGTTTCATATGGCATATATTTACATAGTTTAAGATTAAATACACTTGAAAACTTTAAAAATTTTACTCTTTTTTTGTTTTTGTTTTTGTTTTTTCAAGACAGGGTTTCTCTATATAGCCCTGGCTGTCCTGAAACTCACTATGTAGACCAGGCTGGCCTAGAACTCAGAGATTCACCTGCTTCTGCCTCCGAATTGCTGGGAACAAGGGCATGCGCCAGAACCACCTGGGAATAAATTTTCTCTTAAGATCTGAAAGTCCAACCTAACATTTAGAATTCATGATTTTCCTGGGTTCTGTTCTGGAACATGATATTGTAGAGAGAACCAGACAGACCCTGGTCCAAGGTTTGTGTCTCTTCCACTCCCACCTTCGGGTTTCTATTCACACTTGGAAAACCCTGAAATCATAGCATTCAGAAAGCTAAGGCCTGGGGGGATTGTCCTGAGTTTAAGGCCTGTGAGGGCTACACAGAAAGACCTTCTCACAGAACAAAATACTACCAAGGCTAGACAGATGGCTCAGGAGTTAAGAGTACTTGTTGCTTTTACAGAGGACCTGCTTTTGATTCCCAGCACCAACATGGTGGTTTATAATCATCTAACTCCAGTTCCAGGGGATCTGGCACCCTCTCTGACCTCTGAGAGCATGCATGTGGTACATATGTGTATGCACAGGCTGCCTTAGTCAGTGTTCTGTTGCTGTGAAGACACACCATGACCAAGACAACTATTATAAGAGAAAGCATTTAACTGAGGGCTTGCTTATAGTTTCACAGGTTCAGTCCATTACCAGCATAAAGGGGAGTTTGGTGGCATGCAGACAGGTGCTGGAGCGCTAGCTGAGAGCTACGGCCTGATCCGTAGATAGATACTGAGCTTATCATGGGCTTTTGAAACCCCAGAGCCCACCCCCAGTGATACACTTCCTCTAATGAGGCCACACCTCCTAAGCCTTTACTCCTTTCAAATAGTGCCACTCCCTGGTGACTAAGCATTCGAATATATGAGTCTATGGGGCCATTCTTTTGTTTTGTTTTGGTTTTGGTTTTTTGAGACAGGGTTTCTCTGTGTAGTTTTGGTGCCTGTCCTGGATCTCGCTCTATAGACCAGGCTGGCCTTGAACTCACAGAGATCCGCCTGGTTCTGCCTCCTGAGTGCTGGGACTAAAGGTGTACGCCGCCGCCGCCGCCGCCGCCGCCGCCACCACCTGGCCTATGGGGCCATTCTTATTCAAACTACCACACAGGCAAAACACTTTTACACATAAAATAAATAAATCTAAAAGCAAAACGAAAGGAAGAAACAACAACAGCCAAACCCAAGGAGGTGGAGCTAGGCTTGGTGGTGGGTGCCTGTGAGACTTAGGAGGTGGAGCTAGGCTTGGTGGTGGGTTCCTGTGAGACTTAGGAGGTGGAGCTAGGCTTGGTGGTGGGTTCCTGTGAGACTTAGGAGGTGGAGCTAGGCTTGGTGGTGGGTGCCTGTAAGACTTAGGAAGCTGAAGCAGGAAGAACATGTATGTATCTGAAGGTAGCCAGGGCTATGTGAGAAGTCAGTCCAGCTGGATTACATCATCAGATCCTGTCTCATGATGTAAAACCAAGCAACCAACCAGGCGTGGTGGCTTATGCCTTTAATACCAGCCCTCAGGAGACAGAGGCAGGTGGATTTTATGAGTTCAAAGCTAGCCTGGTCTACGTAGATGTCCCAGGACAGCCAGAACTACATCGTGAGACCCTGACTCAAAAAAAGGGAAGAAAGGAAGGAAAACCAGGCAATCCCTCCACTCCCCTCACCACGATGGCAGTAGAAAACCAATGTGGAAGAGAAGCTGTACATTTAAAAGGATGATCCTTAATATTCTACTCTGTAAGACAGTGCGAGTATGATAGCACTTGCTAGTAGCCAGTCACTGCCCACAGAGAAAGTGGTTATTTTTCTGGAAACTTCTGGAGTAATCAAAGGTGCTTGGAAGAGGGTGAGTGTTTCTTCCATGGCGTATGACAATTAAAGTCTCTTACCCACTTTTGAAAAGACTCCGAAACTGGCCTGGTGCTGACGCGTGGGTGGAAATTCATTCTTTCCCTCCCCTTCTGTTCCTGTGTTGTATTTCAAACCGAAGGTTTAAGGATACATTTTTCTCAAGTGATGATGTGATACAATAAATGTATTTACACCTCTTAAAATTAAAAAATAAGGGGCTGGAGAGAGATGGCCCAGTGGTTAAGAGCACTGACTGCTCTTCCAGAGGACCCGGGTTCAATTCCCAGCACCCACATGGCAGTTAACAACTATCTGTAACTCCAAGATCTGATACCCTCACACAGACTTACATGCAGGCAAAACAAATAAAATAAAAAAAAATTAAAAAATAAGTTCCAGGGCTGGAAAGGTAGCCCAGTGAGCAGAATACCTGCCTTGCAAGTGTATGGCTCTGTGTGGGGTCCAGAACCTGGTTTTTAAAAGCCAGATGTGGCGGTGCACGGTTGTAACCCCAGGACTGGGGAGACAGAGACAGGGGAACCCCCGAGACTTGCTGGCCCGTCAGCGGGGCATGTTTGGTCAACTGCGATGACACCTGGGGAATGACATCTGAAGTTGTTGTGCCCTGGCCTGTGCGTGCATGCAAATGGGCATGTGCACCTGCACACACAAAAATCCATGCATACACCACACACACATGCACACACACCACACACACACACGCACACACGATTTCTTAAACCAGTCTAATAATGAAATTTTGATAAATGCTTACAATTTAAATTTCATGCTTATTCATTACTCCAGCACCTTATTATTTAATAGTGACATTGACTGACATGCTGAATTTGGGTTTTACCCCTTGGTCATTTGGCATCCAGATGGAATGTGTGTTGGTTATACCCCAGCCTTTGCCTTTAAGAGGAAAAACAAAAAGCATGTATGGTTTTTACTGTGGTTTTGAGG